AGATCTCAAGTTTTTGTTTGTTTTAAAAAATTAAAGTTAATTTTGAAAAACAATATTAGATATTATTATCATAGGTTTTATTATCTAGACATCACTTCATATATGGCGTCGTTCAAGTGAATATTATTTTATTGATTTACTTGGTGAATTACGTCGTTATCGAGAAAAAGCAGCTACTTTAACAGCATTTCCACCTTTATCAACAATTACTAATCAGCAATATGGAATAAAAAAAGACGAAAATCAACAAGAACGTTGGAGTATTCATACACCACCACGTCATTATGCTTATGTACCATCTGTAACATTAACACCAACAACAATATGTGTTAATCCATTTAAATTAGTTAAAACAAATCGAGTTTTACGTGAATCAAAATTTGGTGGAAATCTTATGTTTGCTCTTGTTGATGTTAAAGATGAAAATGGTACTATGGATTTATTTCCTCATGATTGTATGTTGAAAAAAAAATTCTTATTAAAAAGAAAAACAATCAAATTTTGTTTAATTTTAAGATCGAGCTTTACGTTGGAAAACAGAAATGTTACTTGAATCAGGTTTTGATTTAGGTATAAAAGGTCGAACATATCGTTATTTACATCATTCACAATCACAATTAAAAGATAAACAATTTTGGTTTTATCATTATAATGGTGAAACAAATTTTTCATTTGAAGAAGCATTTGCTTGGATGGGAGATTTTCAAGAAGAACGAATTGTTGCTAAACATGCTGCACGTATTGCACAATGTTTTACAAGTGCTGAAGCAACGATTCAAGTAAAACAAAAAAGAGAAATTTTATTTTTTATTTAATTTTTTGATTTCATATTATTCTTATAGATTCCATCAGAAAAAGTTGAATATATTGAGGATATTCATTCAGATGATTATAAATATAATTTTACTGATGGTGTTGGAACAATGTCAACTATTATACGTGATAATGTAAGAAAATAATTTTGTTATTAATCTTTGGTGCTGAAAGACTTGGCAAGAAAAAAAAATATTCACTCATATTTTTTTTTTGGTTACTTAAAGACAATTGGTTAGAGTTGGAATCGCTTAGATTTTTGATCTTTCTGAATATATGTTCAGAATTTTCTTTTGAGGTAAGATTGGACAAGTATCATCAGATTGTTTTCAAAGATTCAAAATAGTGGTGATCGTACAGAATACTATTTTAGTCGAATTTGTATTACGATTGAAACCTATCAAATTCAAAATGCGAAAAAAGATTTTATTGGTTCACTTTTATAGAGCAAAATTGGTCTACAAAGTATGCTATTTAATTTTTCATGACAGATTTTTAAATTTTTGTATTTTTAAAAATAATTTTTGAAATAGAGATTTTTTCACTATTACCGATTGTAATATCGTATTTTGTACAGAATTCAGTGCTCTAAAATAATGTTGAGTTACAGCTATTACAAGACATAAACTACATGAACTAAGGAACGCACCAAAACTGCTATTTTGCTTTCTACAAACACTTTTTCACAAACTTTACTGATAGTTGTTCAATCTTATCCAAGAAGGAAAATCTGAACATATATTCAGAAAAAACGAAAATTTCTGATGCTAACAACTAACTTATTCTGACTCTAATTAGTTGTCTTTTAATGATCGAAAAATGAGTGAATACTTTATGCGAAGATTTTTATGCTATAGGTTATTTGAAATAATCATTAGGCATGCATTGAACTGAAGGTTTCCCATCCTTCTAATGATTTATGAAACATAACATTCTATTGACCTTCTATAAGTCCTTGTATCATTTTGCGATGCCATAGTAAAAGTTTACTACAATTATCTCTTACACACTACAAAACTCGAGTGTCATATAGGACATAGAGATAGATATAAGATACGAATAAAACGAAATCATCCGACAGAAAATTTGAGCGAAATTTTTTTGGTGTTTTTTTTTTATCATAATTGGATAGAACTCGTCGAGTTATCTGTAAAAATATTGTCTTTGAATATAATCAAACGAAAGTTTTGTTGTGAAACTTAGGAAAATTATATTTAAAAAAGAAACTAGAAAAACCTATAAAAATTGAAATATACCCAAAGAATAAAGTTTCAGTACTCAATATTTATCGGAAATTTTTTTTTTCATTTTACTCGTCATATGCTTAGAAAAAAAAATTATACATACGTTTTGAAAAATATTATTTGATCGCTAAGAAAATCGTTTTCTCTTTCCGATATGGTACCAAAAAAAGTCATAAATACGGGTTTATATTCAAATATACTCAATACTTTAAACAATTTTTCATCCAATGTCGACCTTAGGAGAAGCACAGGTCAAATTATCCAAAAATAATAATGAGTGGATGTAAGAACTGAAATTTGACAAAAACTTGCTTTTTGGCGTGTGAGTGTCGATGTTAGAGCCCTGCGTCAAACTTCGAAACTCGACTCCGACTCCAGTGGATTCGAAGTGATCATGAAGAATTTTTTCGAAGTTGTATCAGTAAAAAAAAACCCAAGTATTTTTACTCTTTCATAGTAACAACTTTTTTCTTCATATGTTAAGCAATGAATATACCTGTAACAGTTTGCAATCAAAGGACTGAACTGGTATCATTCATTCAGTTCCGTTGAAAACAACTGAGACTAGTACTGGTAGCCAGTTCTTTTTTGACAAATGAAACAAGTACTGAATAGAATTGCTACGTTATCATTATCAGTACACCGAGTCCATATGAAACTAACTGGTCATTGAATTCAGTTCTCGAAAAAACGAACGGATCGCTGAATCCCGTTCTTAAAATTTCATGAAAAAAACATTAGAGAGACATTCGCATTAGTAAACAGCACAAAACGAACTAAATATGCCAGTTAAAAAAATTTTCAGCGTTTCTCGAAGTCGGAGTCAAAAACTTTTTTATCCATAGTCGAAATCGCAACTGCAGGCATGAAAATTTTCGGAGGCAAGAAGTTTAACTCCGCAGGACTCTAGTCAATACGAGTGTGCGTGTGCGTTCTTTTCTTCTACACCCGCATCCATATACATTCATTGATCCTTCAATAGACATCATATTTTCATTCATTTTTTGCGTGCTTAACTTTTCGATGCTTAATATTCCGTGTTCATCGTTTCGGCTCCCAAAAATATCGTTTGAATATGTCAAAATAATATTTAAAGAGATAATTCGACGAGTTCTATTCAACTATGATATCTGTCTTCAGACAAAACTTTACTCAAATTTCGAATTACTGGTACCTTAACTATTATCTAATAGAAAACAATTTCAAATACTATGAATAAAAACTCCTTTTTATTTTTTTTTCCTCATATAGATTAATCCATATCGACAATTTTCAGCTATTCAAATTCGTTATGGTGGATGTAAAGGTGTTATATCTGTTAATCCTGATTTAGATAATTCACCTCATCAATTACGTATTCGTCAATCAATGAGAAAATTTAAATGTTCACATGATATACTTGAATTATGTCGTATTTCTAAACCACGTAAAATTATTTTTTTTTATAATATATTATCATTAATTTATTATAAATTTTTGGTTTTTTGCTTTTTTAAGGTCCACTTTATTTAAATCGACAAATAATTGTTTTACTTTCACATCGTACTATTGATGATCGTACATTTCTTTTATTACAAAATCACCATCAACAAATATTAGCTGAATCACTTGTTTATCCAACACGTGCATATGAATTATTAGCAGAAAAAATAAATCGAAGTTTATTTCCACTTCGTACATTAATTAATGATGCACATTTAAATTTAATTCAAGAACCATTTTTTCGTCAATTAATAATAACAACAAGTAAATTTGAATTAGCACAAATGCGTGAACGTTCACGTTTAAAATTACCAAGAAATTCAGCTAGAAATATGATTGGTATTGTTGATGAATATGGAATTTTAGAATATGGACAAGGTACAAAAATTAAAATAAATTAATTCAAAAATAAATAAATATACTAAATAAAAAAAATATTTCTTTTTTATTAGTTTTTATTCAATATACGGAATTACATGGAGATTTATTAGATGATGAATTAAGTTGTAATAATGATTCATCATTAATACCACAACTAGAAAAAACTATTATACTTGAACAACAAGTTGCTGTTACAAAAAATCCATGTCATCATCCAGGTGATATTCGAATTTTTTCAGCTATTGATGTACCTCGTTTACGACATTTAAAAGATGTTATTGTTTTTCCACAACGTGGAAAACGACCTCATCCAAATGAAATATCTGGTTCAGATCTTGATGGTAAAAATAAATCATATTTCATTTAATTAAAATCGAAAGAAAAAATTCAATCATTTTTTTTTTGTTTTGATTAGGTGATGAATATGCTGTTATATGGCATCCAGCATTTATACCAAAAACACCAAATGATATACCATATGATTATGATTCTCAAACACCTATGTTACGTATTGCTGATCGTCCTGTTAGTCGAGCAGATATACAAGCAACTGTATTAGATATTAGTGAACAATCATGTGTGGGAAAATTATGTTCACTTCATTTAGCTAATATGGATCTTCATGGTGTTGCACATCCAAAAACATTAGCTATTGCTGGATATATTTCAGAAGAATTAGATGCACCAAAAACTGGACAACATCCATTGACGCCAAAAGAAATTGTTCAATTACAAACTGAATTAGGAAATGGACGTCCAGATTATTTTGATAAACCTTATTATAAACTTTATCCATCGAAACATGTACTTGGTAGGTTAAATAAAAGATTTGATTATTTTCTTTTGAGAATTAACTATTTATGAGAACAAGGAAAAAAAACGCAGTAGGTATTGAATTTTTTCTTTGTATTAATTAAAGTTATTCGATCATCTGACTAAACATGTGTAGGATCAGTTTTGATTCTGATCTCAGCTCATACAACCGAATGAAGATCAGAACGAAGCAGGAACTAAATATTACAGTTCAATCATTGAGCACTATTATTCAATCACGATAACTAGAGGATTCTAAATTTGTATGATCATTGGTATCAGCGAATGCTGATCATCCAATAAATTTAGGTCTATTTTTTTCTGAACGATTCGAGAGATTCTTCTTTATCTACAATATGCAATGGAAGTGTTAGCTCGTCATAGTTTCTGAAATACATACAGCTATTTTACGACTGAGCGTTACTTTTTGAAATGTGATGCTCTCTTCTAACACCCACTATTGAAGAATCTAGGATCATCCATTCTACTATACCTTCTGTCGATAATGTCCGTCATAAACATGCAAAAATATAACAATTAAATTCTAGGGAGAAAATAGCCATAGCCTAAATATTGTCAAGAAGACTTCACACTTATTCAAAGACAAAGTCATTTTATTAATTCTACATCTATTTCACTTCGCATATATACTTGCAAGCAAAACTAATGATATATTTGAGATCAGCTGATAAAACTACATCATCGTATCTCAATAACTTTTTTGTGCTTACGAGTTATTCAAAAATTAAGAAACTTTAAAAGAGTGTACAGAATTATGTACGCTGCTCCTCAAAGGATTAAATGTCCCATAAGTTTGAGTAAATCATTTAATAAATCAAATTTATTAAAATAAATTCATGAGAGAATATCTTAAAGACGTTTTTATATTCGATATGAATCAATTGGGAAATCACTTTCTCTAAGTTGAAACAAAAATCGAGCTCATATCTCAAAAAGTAAAATCACCAGAACCGACCCACATTGGATTTAGTAGAAGTAATGAAAAATAAGTTATCAAAATTCACTCTCATACATATCTAGTTCTGACATATCGGATCTGAACATCAGATTTAAATTTTTTCCCATTGATTTACTTTAATTGATTTTCAATAATAAAAATATAAATTTCAAAGTACAATTTTTTAATTTTTTATTTTCATCCATTGGTGTATAATAAATGAACATATGAAACGAACATTGTGCTAAATCACATGAAAAATAACTAATCGAACAACATAGATGTGCAACGATTACCCTGTCCTACCGTGCAGGATACGAAAAAAGCTTCTCCTATACATTTCTATTATCTAATAAATAGACAAACGAAACAATAAAAATTGAATTGTGAAAATAAGAAATGTATATTTAAATATTCTATATGTTCTCTTTACAAACAAAAACATATTTATTTAGAGAATATTTTCTAATTACAGATTTGTTTATTTTTTTATTACTATATAAATAATATTTCATATATTAGGTCAATTATTTCGTTCATGTCTTCGTTTTGAACCAAATTGGATATCAATTCAAACTCCACCAACAACAATATGTTCATCACCTATTGATCCATTATTAGTTCATGATTTACATAATGAATATACAACATCTGTTGAAGAATTAGCACGTATTTATCGTGAAGCTATTATGGATATAATGTATGTCTATCGTTTTTCATCGGATGTTGATTTACTTTGTCGATTTGATTCATCATCATTACAACATAAAACACCATTAAGTAAACAACAAACGGATTCAGCTTGTCTTGTTGCTGATTCAGCACAAGTTGAATTAAAACAATTAATACGTCGTATACGTCGTTTATTTTTTTATGAATTTCGTTTTTGTGATAAAACACATTCAAATCGTTGTCATATTAATTGTATACAATGTGCAGATAAAAAAATGGCTAAAGCAAGTGCACTTTATATATTATGTTATACAGACACACGTCATGCACGACGTATGTTAAGTTTACCATGGTTATTTTCATCATTATTAATTGAAACAAGAAAATTAAATATAAAAAAACAAACAAAATTATGTAAATTTAAGATTTTTTTTTTATTTATTGAATTCAAAACCTATATATATTTATATTGTTTTTTTTATAGTATCACCTAAACTTATTGCTCAAATGCTTGAAATTCAACCATATCATTTAATTGGTCAATCATTACGACGTGCATTACAAAATTTATTTGATCAATCGAAATCATTTTATTTTCATCATATATATTCACATGAAAAATCAAATATAATAACTGTTTCACTTGGACCAACATCAACAGCTAAACGTCTTTTATTAAAACGTCAGATATTATTACTTGATTATCTTATTTTAGAAATTCTTCATCATTATATATATGAATCTTTATCAAAAATACGTTCACCTATAACAGCATCAAAACCATTACTTGTTGAATCAGTTTGGCAACATATATTAACACGTTTTATTCTTGATGAATGTTCACCATTAGTACTTATAACAACAAATTCAAATACAAATTCAATTATTAAAGATTATCAATATTGGTCCGATGAACAAGCATGTAAAACATTACAACGTTTGCTTAACATCAGTATTCAATGTGCTGAACATGGACCAGATTCAACTGATTATGCACATGCTAATGAATATTTAGTTTTAGCACTTCAACAAATGGCTACAACTGGTACATTATATTCGGTTTAAAACAAAAATAAAAAAACAAAAGACATGAAACGTTTTGCTTTCAAAGCCCAGTGATCGTGATATATCTACATTTATATTTATCTTTTCTGTTGATGCCAATTATGGATATGGAAGGAGAAGTCAGTTTCTGCTGTGATGATTTTTCAAGCGATTTTTCTTTTTCTTTCTGCTGCTAATGCTGGCACTTACATTTTTAGGGATGTGTGTGTCTCTCTCTTTTTTTTTCTTTTTGTCTAGAAAAGTTGTGAAAACAGCTCTAAAAAAAGTAGACCTTAGACTAAAAAAAAATAAATATATTTGAAAAACAAGCAAAATATGATTTATATTATCAAAGATGATAAATAAGTTCAATATATATACAATTAAATATGTAAAGCTCTACAAGAAGAAAAACCGACAGAAAGAAATTGAGTTATATCGTTAGCTGATATTTTGATATAAAAGAATTCGTACAAATCTCTATCGGTAAGTATTGATATAAATATAAGAAATTGTCTCCTCTTTTTTAACGTCTATAGAGCTTTACTTTGCTGTATATGCAAAAATCAAATCATACAAGAAAAAAGAAAAAAAAAATGTTCAATAAATATTCTAGAATTTTAATTATATTTAATTGAAAATTCACATCATATTATTATAATTCCTAATGAGAAAAGAAAACTATGAATAATATAAAAAGAGCATGATGTAGTCTAATGATAAAAAAGATAATTGTTAATAGTGTTTTTTTGTTATTGTAATCTTTATCGAAATAAATTATAAGATAAAAGAAGAAAAACCAACACTTGCAAGATGATAATATTCATATGAAATTATATATCAATAAAAAAAAAGAAATTACCAAAATCAAAAGTAAATAGATGTCGTTATTTTCTCATAATTTTGAGGATTTACTTTAGAATTATTCCAATTCTAATCGATATATTTTTTTTAAAAAAATCATTTTAATAATAAATTTGAAAAATAAAAAAAATAAATATCTTTTGAATCTCCATTTTAATTAATGGGAGTAGAAAAGAAAAACTTTCATTTTAACATAAAAAAAACATTTACTATCCATAGACGACCTATGTAAATAATCTCTGTTAATAAAACTATTTGTTTTCTTTTGTATAAATAAGAATTAATGGACCCGAAAATTACATACATTACTAGATAGTTAGAAACAGGTGTCTAAAATTTGACGAGCTGTTTGGATAAAAACAATAATCAATACTAGTCAAATAATTAATGTGGTGATTGAAAAAAAAATTATCTAAATAATTATCAAAACCTTTATAGCAATAGTATTCATTTATTTTTTATCTATATTCTCTATCTGTTTATTTTTTGCCCTTGTAGCTATTCATCATGCATTTATTCATTCATCAAAAAATTCCCCTTGCTCATCAGATATAATTTGATTAGGGCCGTCTAAATTGAATTCCATCGAAAGCACAAGTTGAAGAAAAAACCCAAATATATATATATGTTTACTAATAACTATTCTAAAAATAACTATCAAGAACCTCAAAGGAAAAAAGAAATATCCAGCTAAATATGAAAACAAAATAGATAAAAATAAAATAGCAAATAGAATTTTACGAGAATAAATTGAGACTAGATAAAAAATAGATATCATCGGTTATTTTTGTTTTTTACAGACATATTTATTTATGAATAACTTTCTTTTTTTAAGTGTAAACATTTAAATTGCTAACTACATGGCTATGAAGATGCGTATATAAAGAGTTCAAGAAATAATTGTAATGACTAATAAATTTGTTATTGTTCTTCTTCGTCTTTCTCTTCTTCTTCTTTTTCTTCTTCTTCTTCATCTTTGTGTGTTGGTTGTTTAGAATTACTGTCACCTGTCTTTGTTAACATCCATAATTTACGATTACCAGATGTTGATTGACTTGTTACACTAAAACCAGCTCTTTTAAATGCGTCAACAATATGTGCTGGCGGATCAGTGCATTGAACACCTTGTTCATGATCACATAATTTTTCATTTGAACATGATTCTTGTAAAATTCGTATAATTTCCGGTTGAACACGATAACTTTGAACACCCGTACTATGAACTAGTGTTGGTCCTGATTGTTCTTGTGATGCTTCACATGAAACTGTTAACGTAGTATGCATTGCCAAAGCCATGATTCTTATATGTTAATGTTACGAACTGTTCGAGGAAAAGAACAAGGTAAAATTATGAGACTTGGTAAATAGAATGCTTTCTGCTTATATATACGACGGAGAGACCTTGAAAATAAGTATGCGTTATAGTGTGTGAGTTGAATATATATGCGCACTTGTGTGAGCGAGGACGACGAATCACACCATCTGTCTAGTATATGGAATTAAGAGAAAAAAAAGAAAAAAAGAAAAAAATGGGAATAAGAAATGCAAAGAACAAGACAAGAAAACGGAATGCAGAAAAAAAAAGCGAAAGAATAGGAGAAAAAGAACACGACGTTTTTAATTATATAACTGAATGAATAATCAACACATGAACAAGAAAAAAAAGACTTTTTTTTTGTTTTTTTGTAAAGTTTAGTGGATTGAATTTCGAGATGCTAAAATGGATCAAAAAAATCTTTTGAACATCTAATTAGTTTCTGTCAATAGACAATCCTATAGAGATCTACTCAAGAGTTGAAGGACATAAAAATTGGATCAATCCTACTTTTGACGAAAAGTAAAAATATCGAAGTAAGGATGAAAACAGATTAACAATATTTTTAACTTATCGACAATTTTATATGTCGATGTTAGTTAAATAAATCGAAGATTGATTCTGTAGAATAAGATAAATATTTGCATGAGAATACGGATTGAACAATTCTAAAACGACGTCTAATAAATTCCTAACTAGAAAAATGATATAATATTATCATTTTATTTTAAATAATTCATTTCTAATATATTGACATGAAAAAAAAAATGATAAAAATATACTAAATTATATATTTTTTGTTATCAAATAGATATTTATCATTTGTAATCAAGCGTAAAATGAAATGTCATGTTTTTTTGTTTGTTTTCGAATGACTGTGTCGTTTAATTAATAAATTGTACCGGTAAAAATATTTTTAGAAAACTAGTTGTGTTATTTTCTTCATCTTCTTTATATAGATCATAATTTCAAATTATTGGAGCAATAACTTTTGCATATAAAAAATGCATTTATTATTTCGTCATCTTAAGAAAAATGCATTTTCAAATAAAAGAAAAAAAAACTTACCATTATAAAAGCATTAGAGAAATTTTTTTATTACCCTTTGGTAATGATCCAATTAATGAAAAATCGTCGATAGTAAATACTAGAATATCTATTTATTCTTGTTAGATTTCAAAAGTATGATTTTTTTTCTGCAATATTCGAATGCCATTGACAACCACTTGATATAATTCGACCACCAATTGATGATGACATTCTTTTTCATTACGTACTAATAAACTAAAAAAAATCTTCGATTGATTGGTGCACGACTCCATTAACTACTTGTTGAGATAATATTTTCACGTAAAAAAAAAATCAAGATATTCAATAGTATATGCATTTGATGCATGTACAATAACTTGATGAGCAATAACAACTTGATCATTTTCAAAAATAATATTTTTAGAATTTTAATTTTGAATAACTTTACTTTGTATGTCTAAATTAATTCCAAATTGATCAAGACAATATTTAAATAAACTATAAACAAATTTTGATATTCAAATAGTACCTAATTTTATCTAATGATATTATTGTTTTCGGATGTTTATTTATATAATCTTTAACTAATTCATAAGATTTAACTAAACTTTCTCATTCTTATTTATCAGAAGCTAAAGCAACATTACTACGTATTAAATTTATTATTGTTAGTGGTTAATTCAGTACAAACAATACGTTCTTGTAGACAATGTCGAAAAAAAAACTGAAAAAGGAAAATATCGAAATGATGAATCTTATCCTTGTGATACATGTGAATCCTATGAATTTAATATTTTGGAATGACAACCACAAGAGAAAATTTGACAATATACTAAGATCTTTTTGTTTTTCTTTTCAATTAATAATAATAAACCTAACAATAGTTCCTTTGCATTGATTTTCGTCTTGAGAAGAGTGCGAGTGTCAACGTGGATTTGGGTGGGTAGGTAAGCGGCTGAAGAAAACAGATCCACACCCACACTCATACACTCCCATCATACCCTCAAGAACAAATACAACAGTTTTGTTACTGATATCTGTAAAATTAATCGACGTTTTCATTTTCGATATTTTCTTTTTCTGTTTTTTTTCGATATTTTCCATCAACTTCAATAATATGAGGATGTATTTCAGGCTATCATATAAAATCATGTTTTTCATCGATTCAAAACGGATTTGAATGTCGAACAGTCGATTGGATCATGTTTGATGAAATACAATGCTATCACTTGATTTAATTGCAGATAGGTTAATCTATCCGAGATCAAACAGAAAAGTCAAACAGACGTGTTATGCTTAGTATTATAGATCTATTTTTGATTTGCTATTAGGTACTAGACGTAGATTTTTTTTTTCTGAAAAGCAGAACTAAAAATATGAACTAGTAGTATCGGAGAGTGTAGCCTAAAATAAAAAGGACGTTAATAAAAATCAGAACAGAAGAGAAATTAAAAGTGTTTCTCTATTGGAATAGATATGTTAATAGTAAGATCAATTCTATCAGTTCATTCCTATGCCTAAAATTATTTATATCTCAGTTATATTTAGCTTACACTTTAACATAAACTTGATTTTTTTTTCTAATCTATATTAATATTACATATGATATCAGGAATCTTTATCTGTATTTTCTCATTCATTTTTCTTGGTAATATGTTTTTGTTCTATTTGAAAATAATTTCGTGTCTATTCGATATGTAGAACAAAACTAAAACATATTATTTTTTTTTTAATGACTTTATAAGTACACTCATCTCGTATATATATATATTTTTTTTTAAATAGAGTGATAATAAAAAAAAACAACAGCGCCCATAAGGAATCATTGATAATGATATTACAGAAAAAAAAACTATAATCTTCAAAAAAAAAACAAAATGAGAAAATTTACAAGACATATTACATGGAGATTTTAGAAAAAGAGAAAAAAAGCACAGTGCATGAGATGAAATAAGAATATAATAATTTGTTCATATTCTTTTGTATCACAAATTGTGCTGTCTTGTAAAGTTTATTTTTCTAATAAACATCACAGATATCATATAGACAGCTTAATTTCTAATTGCAATAATGTTTGACTGAATAAAAAAAAAATTTGATCATAACTTTAATTCTGATTTTGTAATATTTCTAATGCACGTGTATCTAGAAAACTTTTTGAATTTATTGTTAACATAAATATATTAATAATAACATTAATAATAGCTATAAATATTATAATAATTAATGCAAAATTATTATATCGTTCTAGTTGGATTTGTTTTTGAGAATTTCTTATATCACCTTTAGCAATAATATATAGAATAAAAATTAAACCAATTTGAAATAAAATCGATATACAAGCAAGTACTAGAGATATTATCCATATGCTATCATGTTGTTTTTGTAATATTAATGTTCGTAATTGCATAACATTACTTGCTAATGAAAATTTTTTTATTTTGTTATAGTATAATTATTTTTTTTTGTTTTAAAATTCTACTTACTAAGTAAAGCCACTATCATAAAGAAATGACCTATGAAAAATTAAATATAATATTTTGTTGTAAACAAGAGAAGGTTTTTTTTTAAATTTACCGATTGTCTTTTTTGTTGCATAACGATTATAGTTATATGCAAAATCATTCTAAGAAGAAAAATATCATGTAAGCAAATAAATAAATAAGATTAAGCTTTTCATTCGAAAATTTTTGACATTTAATATAAGAAACAACAATTCAAACATTGATATGAACAAAGCAATGTAGTAGTTCAACAATAACAATTTATTGTGTAAATGTCACATGAAACATTTTTTCCTTAGTCAACAAATCATGTTCGAAATAACAGAAAAAATCAAATGACTCGACAATCTAACAAACTATCAGAGATTGTATATGTTTGCCAATAGTAGGAGATCAGTCTTTAACATGTGAACAAAAAATCACTTGACCGCATGTTATGTCTGTGTGCATATAATATATATGTGAATTAATAAGATGATTGATCAGTATCATAAAACAGAAAATACTCTATCACTTGCACACTAGATGTTTCTCATACTCTTTCAAGTATTGTATAAAATCAGTCTATACAAATATTTATCTCTCATTCAGTGAGAATAAACATTATTTTTCTTTTTTTACTTCTATTTACTTAACAAAAATAATAGCGTCATTCTTCTTCATAATGTTTGATTGACAACAATCACATACTACATCTTACAAGTGGTATATGTATAAAAGAGACAAGAGGAAAGAAACATTGTCATTATAAAAAAAAAAAAAAGAAGAAAAGCATTGAACAGATTTATCAAGGTTGATGATAATTACAATAGTTATATGTACATAAGGCTAGCAATCTAATAGTAAAATCATGCCTCTAATCATGTAACTAAATCTATTAACACATATTATAGTGTACTATTCAAATAAGAATTCTCAAAAGTGTAACTATATATAATTATATGAAAACTTACATTTGTATCACCAGTATTTCCCTCATTATCATCCTAAGGAAAAGAAAAAGCAGAAGCAATAGCTGGCTTTGTTTAGTACCAAAAAACATGAATTATATGTTATAACTGGCATATAATCAAATTATCGAGAATATATCTATTATGATTTTAATTTTTACCCTTCTTAATCCAGCATCGACAGGTGAACGAGATGTTGGTTTATCCATACGTACTGGTACTCTAGGTGGTAAAAGAGTTTCTTCTTGTGGATGTCGATTAAGTTCAGATCGAACAGGTAGTACTGGACGAATATCATTAACTTCTGGATACATAGGTGGTGCAGATGGTTCTTGACGGTAAGCATACGATGCCATGTTTTATGAATTGTATTTGACTATGAAGAAAAAAAAGAAACGAGTAAATCTATCATTATATTCATAACAAACGTTTGGGAAAAAAACTAATTGATTGAAAACGTCTAATGATGAGTAATGCAAACAATGCGTCATTTATTTTCTTATTCTTTCTTGTTCATTTTTTTCTATTTTTTTTTTCGACCTTCTTCTTTTTTTTCTCTCTCTCCCTCTACTTTTTTGCCTCTTGCACGAGTGTGAATCGTGTGCATGCCAAGGCTATCTTATAGTATGTAGTTATATCAAATATCTCTTTTTTTCCTCCTCAAGCAAATCAAAACAATCAATCTATTGCGACGAGTAAAAAAAAATGAGTCAATTTACTCACAAGAGAGTCGTATATGATGACAATACGTATTCAGTGATTGAAAAACAATGTTTATCAAATCTGAGCGACAGTTTTTAGCAAAAAAAATAGCGAAAAGATAAAAAAAGGAAGAAGCATGTATTTATGTGCAGACAATGATAACAGATGTTGAGCAAGAAAAAAAAGAAAAGAGAGAACACGAGAGAATGACTAAAAAGAGAAAAGAAAGACCATTTTTGTAATGGATAGAGACGTGTATGATGGCGGATAAATCTTTCTCTCTCTCTCTCTCTCTCTCTTTTACGCTCTTCTGTTCTCTTCGACGACAAACAGTTGCTTTACTTAGTATTGAATTTTGTTTTCAAGCACATCAACAGACTTTTCTTTTTATTGTTTCCTTTGCTTGTTGTTTTTGTGGATGAATGTCTACATATTTTCTTCGACATTCGACTGTAAACAAGATACATAGTTGATCATATAACGTTATGGGTCATGTCTAATTAATCAATGGTACTGTCGGAAAATAAAGGTCACTTCATGAAAGAAAAGATAAATAATCGAGATTCAGAAAAAAAAATTAGTAACACGTTTATTTGTCTCGAAGACAAATAAATTTCTCACAAGACGCCTAAATCGATGATTCACTTGCTTGTAATAAATATTTATTCATATCATGTGACTTTATCAATCATCATTGTAAAGATACAATTGAATTGAATGATTACTTTTCTTTCTTACGATGTTTCTTTTTTTTGTAAAATTTCAAACAAAAGATAAATCATATTCCAAAAATATGAGAGATTTACATCAGTTTGCACAGTCTCTAATGCATATTGTACGTAGATGATAATTATGATTGAAATTATTAAGATTTTTTTTTTAAATAAATCATAGCACATCCTAAAATTGATAAAAAATGATTTTCTTGCCTGTCAATCTTCGAATTTTGTTAATCAATCAATCTTTATATTGAACATTCCCTCGAGAATGTCTCTCGAAAGTAAATTTGATTTTGTTCCATCTTGTGAATCAACTAACCGTCATTTGAATAGACAAGATAAAAGAACTCTATGAATCAGAATAGAGAAAAGTGAATTATCCAAAATAAGACAAACTAGTACATGTTTCTAATTAAATTGCTCAATCCTTCTAAGATATTATCCCTTTGAAAATAGAATGTTAGATAAAAATAACTCATTCTTTGTTTCTTAATAATTTTACGTACAATGAATATGATCAATTCTATTGTAGTTATTGGATATTAATACCCATAATAAAATGGATATAATACTATCAAGAAAGATTTGACACGAACGATCGAAAAAAAAATTAAAGAAATGAATCACACATCTATTGACGAAAACTAATATTGTATGTAGATAAGATTTTAACTGGCATTTATATCATAATATATTAAGTTTACACCAAATTGTTCTGTATAGTATCTACGATTGAGTAAAAGGCCAAGTGATGTTATTGGATATTAAAAGGACAATAACGTTATGAATAATCAAAGAAAAAATTGAAGCTCATATTTGAAATTTACTTTTTCTAGTTATATCAAATAGAAAAGATAAAGTTGTCAAATTAACTGACTAATGTTTGTTTTTTTATTCACGTTATCAGCTTTCATTTGATCATTACACAAAACTATTTTTTATTTATCAAGCTCGCAATACTAATAAATACTTGACTAAAGATGATTCATTTTTAGAGGGTTGAAGATAAAGTGAATTCAATTTTAGATACTTTATATCATAATGACAAAGTTCTTCAATCTCTATGACACAATCAATTTCATGTAACTATGTTATAAATTGTGTCTTGCTGACGTACATCCTGCTAGATTGAATTTGAAAATTCCTTAATTGTAGTCAGTGATGTGAAATTTTTTTAATCGTTGTCGTAATGTGTTCGATTTGAACAGCTAATATACTTCGCCTTTGAAAAGTAGAATATATTAATCCGATGTTCACAGGGCTTGGTATCCTACTTAAGAAATTTTCACAGAATTTGGTGTTATAAACGCTTTTCTTTTTATGTAAACAGATGCAAAATTTCAAGCTGTACAAAATGTTCTTCTCTAAAGAGATTAAACTCCTTTCTAAATGAATGAGAAAGCTGAAATGTTTTCTCTCATATTAGTTATTGACGGAATAGAGACATTTAGTCTATTTCATAAGTATGATTCTATCGGTATACGTACAACATTAGAAGTCTTTCATTCTGTTCGTCTTTATCTTATCAGTCAGGATAAATTGGCAACGAATGTTATATTATAGAATTTGGTTTGAAATAAAAAAAATTTGCTAATTTGGGCATGCTTACGCAAACAGATATTCTTATTGAGCTTGACGAATAAGAGATTACATTGAGATTGAAGCAAAATATATGGCATAACTAGATATCGATGACTGAAAGGAATTCGACAAAATGTTTTCAATCAATTATTTTAGATAATAAATGAACAAATCGTGAAGAACGAAGAATCAAAAATAATAGAAGATCTACGGAACGGTAAACCTCGGTCTGTTTGGCATTAGCTTATAGATAATGATTGTTTAATGTAGTGTATCTATAATCGTTTTTAATCTTGCATTCACGTCAGTAGAGTTAGCACCAGATTCAATATTTCTTGTCCGGATTCGCATACGCACCTGTGCTATTGTTCTAGTTGGTTGTGCTGGATGCAGAATTTAATTCTGAATCGAATGGTGCTATTTTCAGAGCGGATCATCAGGCAAAAAATGGAGGTTCCATGGGAAAAACTCATTTTAACGAGCTTTTCGACCAGTATTTGTTGTCCAAATTCGTCTCCACACCTGTGATATCGTTCTAGTTGGTTGTGCTGAATGCAGAATTTCATTCTGAATCAAATGGTGTTATTTTCAGAGCTGGTCATCAGGCAAAAAATGAGGGTTCCTTGCGAAAAACTGGTTTTAAAGAGCTTTCCGATCAGTACTTCTGGTCCGAATTTGCCTCCATGTCGGTGCGCGAATTCACACATCCAAACACCAACACGCACAGTCAATACCTTCCCAATCCCTGTAATTACGACTTCTCGCTCCAAAACCAACACTTCCTGTCCGATACATCTGCTGGAAAATAGTACAAACGGATTCAGTATAAAATTCTGCATCCAGCAAAACCAACTAGAACAATAGCACAGGTACGTAGGCGAATCCGGACAAGAAATATCGAATCTGGTGCTAACTTTACTGACGTCAATATACTTATTGACCTAGTGTAATCATGTCTTTTTAAGTAACAATGAAGAATGCAAGTAGGGGCCTCGAAAGTGAAGGCACTGAGGGAGTGTACACTCCAGTAATGTGACTAGGAACTTTTTCTGGGGGATTGACTGTTCTCGAGGAGGGCCGCTGTTGATAGACAGTGGTTTTAGACTCACGAAAATGATTCGACCTGTAGCCTGTCCAGCTATTCGTATCTCTTCAGAGGATTGACCTTCTCAATCCCCCTCTGGACATGTCACTGATAGCAACAAAGGTTCAACATCTTCTACGTATAATTTGAATGAATGAGCACAACCAAAGAAAAAAAGAAAAACAAATATTGAGAAATGAATGTAATTCAAGAGAGAATAATGAACACATCGATGTAAATAATTCGATAGATTATGACTATTTATGAAACGAAATATAATTGTTTGCTTTTTTGCTCATCTTCAAGCTCCTATAATTTGTTGAGAATTGGTATTTTATTTGAAAATGTTGACTGCAACACTGATTTGTAGACATGTTGCGAAGTATGCTGATGATAGAATCTGCCAATTAATGCTACGAGTAAATTTTCAAGTTTTGGTCCAATAAAATAAAATAAAATAAAATAAATTTTAATGCTCATTCGAGTTGCATGAGCTTTCGGAGGAGCATACAACTTCTATAAGCAAGTAATGTAAAGTAGAAAATTGAATATCTACACAAAAATTAGAAAGTATTTCTTCAAATATATACGAATTCTCTTCAATGGATAATATGCATTAGTCACAGAACGAAAAAAGTGACTAGTGTGAATTAGAGGTCGGACGGATACAAACACCACAAGTAGAAGTATTATACTTGTACTTGAAAAAATGTATGTTGGACTTTAACTTGCCCTTTTAAAGTATACTTGCACCTGTACTTATACTTAAGTACGAAAAAATTATTTGGTATTTGTACTTGGGGTATAGATGAAATAAACTTTGTTAGTAAAGATATCTACGCCTGATAAGCCCTTAAAAAGACCATTGTAACATCATCTAATTAAAAAAGTAAACGAGAATAAGAATATTTTAATGAAAAATTTTCCTCTTATACGCTGGGAAATTCACTGCACATCACTTATGAAATTCATGTTTTTATTATTCGACTTTCTTCCTGATTATAATGGGCATCTTTAAATGATAATGGTTTTTGGCTTAATATCTTTAACTATCTTTCTTCATCACATAAAAAAATCTATATGAATCTAAACCCATGATTTATAACTTAAGTTAGTTTATTGCTTCACTACAGTTTCGAATCTAGGACAGAATATTCCATATATTGACTGAAAGAATTTTAACATGAAATTGTGATAAAAGATTTTTCGAATATATTTAAGATGTTTTCAAAGGTTTGAGCAACGATTATTTCTAATAATATTACAGTTA